TGTGTAAAATGGGAAAAGAAGTGGAAAATTATGTGTGAACCTGAGAAAATGGGTAGAAGTCGACTTAGCCGCTTTAAACAGAGACAGGCAACCCAGAAAAGTGTTTCCTGCCAGATAACAAACGGTAGTAATTAGAAGGGACATTGGGCCGCCCACAAAGAATGCTCTACGCATAATTAAACAGCAAATTAAGCATTATCAAAAGGAGCCCAGATACAAGCCTACACTGGGAAACCCGAATGCTTTTGCCAGACCCCAGTCGATTGATATGAGCTGGGCTTAACCTTGTTTCGGATACACCCAAAAAACTTGATATGAAGCGGTGATCAAAATGATATTATGTGTTATAAATTTTAACTTGATTTAAGGCCATCTCATTTTTATATGCTCGATATGTTAACAACAGGACAGTTCGAATTATTCTTCTCGCTTCCACTAAGGTTATTAAGTCTCCGAGAGAGAGAATTTAACAAAATTCAATTATTTAATGTTAATTTTACCAGTTGTGCATGGTAAAAACGATCTGATTCCGTTGTGTTTTTTTTTGTGTGTAGTGTAAATTCGCCCATAAGCAAGCTACGCACAAGGGACGCAACCGCATAGTGTAATATTAATAATGGTTAATAGGCAACAAGTGAATGGGGTCGACTGTTGCCTAGTGACCTTCAGGGACATTTCATCATCTTAATGGCGGCCAGTTTGGGGCAAGCAGCAAATCTGTGGCAATGCACGCGTTAACCTCGACAGCGACACTCAAATTAGAAAGCCCTCGAGGGAAGGCGTCCTTCGACCTAAGCTGCTTTCCCGCCCCCGTTTGTCACCTGCCATTGCGGTCTGGACTGTCAATAGCACTTAAACAGACACATAAGCAAGCGGTCCGGGGAACTGAAACTGGAGTGGGATCGGTTCAAAGGGGAAGAGCCGCCCACAAGGTCTGGTTTATGATAAGGTCCAGTCACCGGGCTTACCTGTGTATTTGTGGATGGCGATTGAGAGCGCCCCAAGCAATAGTTTATAAGCTTTCGAGCGGGTCGATCGAGAAGTTCCAATGAACCATTAATTTTCCATTAAAATATAAAATTGGGAATTAGTTTTCAAAGATATATCTTACAATGACATTCTCCTATAACGAGCAGTTGAACATGATAATGTTATGAAACTGAAACTCAGCTATCGTACTCTCTCCGATTTGCGGAGCTACCCTTCCGACTTCAGAATGGGCCATCCGACCCTTATAATCACAGCAATTAGTAATTACGCCTCCGCCTTCGCCCCCTTTGCCTCATCGCCAGGTTCACACCTGCCCTGGCACTTATCCCTTTTAATTAGGCGCCACCAAAAGGCAAATTTTTCGAGCCCAAGAAGGCAGCCAAGTGGTAACGTCTCCCAGTCTCCCACAGCATCCCCTGCCATCTCTCTATCTGTCTGTTTGCTTTCCCTTTGGCAGATGCTTCGACTGGCAGCAGTGCCCGATGCCTTTGGCCCATTTCTAAATTTTCATTTTAATTATTGCGAGTATTATTCTGAAAATCAAGTGAGCGGCAACTTTGCCAATTGCCACACGCCCCCTCCGGCGGCGGGGGGCGTGGCAGGGGGCCTCGACGGCAGCTGTTACATAGCCTTCATCCTTTTTCCCCTACTTTGCCACCTGCCAACGCCGCTTTCTCCTGGGAGAAAGCTGGTGTCTGCATGTTTCCGTATCTGTGTGTTATCATATTTCACGCCTATTAGCGTTTTAATTTAATTAACATTTATGGCGACAGTTTGAGCCGGCTGCAGTGGAAATATACGATGTTACGAGGGGGAGAAAGGGTTTTTCGGCCGTCTTTGACAGTGAAGTGCACTCCTCTGCGAATTCCCCAGCGTCGAAACTTTAACGAAAAAGCTTTAATCAGTTCCACTCCATTGTTTGACTTTCGAGATAAGCTGGCTGGGAACTTGGCTGCAACTGCAACTGCAACTTCATTGCGAATCCACCGAGGCAGCTCCAACGAAGTTATATTAGTTACCGATGCCGGAAATAATTTCACGTAACTATTTGCACGTAACGCCAGCCAGACAGCTGAAGCGATGTGAGAACCGGATAGCAGCAGTCCATCCACGCCTACCGGTCTAAATTTATTGAAGGTCCTGTCCGGCATGGACATGGCCAAGGCAACTTGAGCTGGAAATTACATCCGCTTGGGTCTCGAGTAGTAGCTTTAAAAGACTTTAAAACGATTGAACTAGGTGGGATGGGAAAATTGAAAACATTTCCGTTCCCTGTTTGCCTGTTTTAATAACCTTATTAAATTCATCCGCCCAAGCGCACAGCAAGCGGGTGGGTTTTACAATAACATTTCGAAGTTGTCGTCTTAGAAACAGTTCTATTTTAGTTTCCCTGTGGCCTGGCAAAATCATCGTAACAATCAATCAATTTTCGCCAATTTCTAAATTTAGTTGTGGTTGATTGGCAAATTTAATATATTTACAGCCAAACAAAATTTTAAATGAAACGATGATCAGTTTGATATTATATAGTACCAATTTTGACTTCATATGCGGCATCTCAATTTGATATGATCGAAATGTAAACAAAAAGCCAGTTCGAGTTTCGAATGTGTCTTTCTCCCTCTTACTCACGTAATTTAAGTCGTTAGATTGCTTTTTACTCACTATTTCAAAGTTAGTAAATCTCCGAGAGAGAGAATTATTTAATATCAATAAGATCAGTGTTCAATTTAGTGTTGACTAGATAGTGTTCATTATTCGATTGCTGATATATGGAGGAATTGTTGATAGAATACGGTTACACTCAATAAAATATGAAATCAATTGCGAGCTTTAACATTACATCTTGTATTGTTTTGTACCTTAACCTGTGTACTTTTCCACCATAATAGTTCGCCGTTTTTCACCTTTTCTACGCCACAGGTCAGCCCCGAAGATAGAATGGCTTTCCCGACTCCCCTCCTATTTAGCCACGTTTTTCCGCTTTTATGTTAACAACAAAGGCAGCGGCAGCAAATGAAGAGGCTGAGAGTCGAGAAGAAAGAAAAACATTGCAAAGGAAATCGTGGAGGAGCATTGTGCGAGACGATTGAAACTGCAATGCCGCTGCTCGTATTTTACCTTGGACTGCAGGCAAGCATGAGAATTTAATGAGCAGCCTCTGCAGAAGCTTTGAAGTTGGAGTTGCGCCGGTTTTTGCTCCCTCCCAAGTTTGAACTGTTTAAGTTTTAATCGAGTTATTGGCAGGCAGCGCGCAGGAAGTCGGGAATTAAATGGTCTGTTTCAAGTAATTATAAATTCACACAGGTCCAAATTCATTGCCGAGTAATTGCACGAAAATGTATTTAATTTCAAATTTAATAATTCCCACGGCCATGCCAGCTATTTTCAATTTAGCTATTTGTGGTTTTGTGCAAATTCAGTTTCGGTCAAATTGTTAGACATATTGCACAATTACATACATTTGGCTCAGACTCTGGAGTTTCGGTTTCGCTTCGGTTTGGTTTGGTTTGGTTTGCTTTGATGGCAAACAATTACATGCCATTTGTTGTTTGGGCTATTGAAATTTGATTTTGTGTTTTGTACTGTCAGAGCCTACAGATTATGTGGTTATGGCTAAAGTAAATGTTTTCCTAAGCCTTATAAATTAATATTTAACCGAATGCATAAACACAAATGAAAACGAGAAAGAAAGCACACAGAAGTCTGTATATATGCACACACTCGCCGTTGTTTTATTTACATTCAAAGCTGTTAATTGTTTATTGTACCGATTTAATGCACTGAATTTTAAAATATACCATGTACGCGGAGGTTTATATATTTCAAATAGATTTAATTGTGTCGGAAGTATCTTCTGCTGTGATGGCAAGCTTTTTGCTCTGTCAAAGTGCAAATCTTTTTGCCAATTAGCCTCCCAATTATCACCTTTAATTAATTGAATCCACCAACGCTTGCGGTCCTCCAATCAGAATCACAATCGCACTGCACTAACCGACCTCTTTCGACGCGACTTCCGTATTTCCTCCCCTTCCTCTGCTGATTTCCATGCTAATCACAAGCCAAACTTTCAACTTCATTTATCTTCGGACTCCCCCAGCCGCACTCTTTCAATTAATTCGGGCCAACACTACGGGCTAAGCTATACCTTGCTAATTGGGATTATCTATTATCGGGCCATCGGTATTCGAATAATTAAAACGTCAAATTTAACTAGTTTGGCAATTGCCGGACTTTAAATTGGGTTCAGGGGCTAGTGGCTGGTGGCAAAAGAAAACAATTTTTGGCTTTTTCAAATGCAAATTTCATTGCTCATACGACATGTGTTCCGTAGTCGTACGTGATGCGTGTGGGTCGGTGGTTTGTTAGTGAGTGTTCGAGCTTCGGTCTCGGTTTCAGTTTCGATTTAAATTGATTTTAATTTTTGGGGTAAGATCCTGACCAGTGTGGCATATTTATTTTTCGTTTGCCTGCGGCTATCGTTACCATTTTTCCTCCGGGATTGAGAATATCTCGGCCAAATAGTTATGCAAACGTGGCATTCAGTGGGGCATTTTTAAAATGCGAGTCCCAGTTCTTATTTTAGTTTTCCATTTTCTACATATGATTCTTATGGGCTAATCACACAATTCCCTAGTCTGCGCCATGCATATGAAATATGAAATCTGACACACCCCCGTTCTCCAACTCGCACATTGCTAAGCTATTGCCTTGGTTATGAAAAACTTTGCTTATGCATAAATTTTCTCCCTCCGCGGGGTGAAAATTGAAATGCTTAAAAGCGCATGAAAATGTTGTTACAAGTTTGAAGTTTTTGCTGGGACGCTTTTTATGGGGAGCGGAGAGCAGCAACTTTAAATGCACGTTTGAGTATGTGTGTGTGCGGTGAAGTGCGGCCCGGCTATTTGTTAAGAGTATTTCTATAAAATTTTCAAGGCTTTTGTTGAGGAAAACTTTCCCTGCTTTCCAGGCACCGAAAAAGTGAAATAAAAATATTGTTAGAGAGCATAACAGGTGGTAACTTTGGTTTACAATTTAAATATATGTACTTTTCGAGTAGCGTGGCTAATTTGCATTAGTTAAGCCCAGCCAAAGCCGAGTAGAAAGCCGCCCAAGAAGGCCACACACAGACGACCGCTGGTAGCACACGCTTTCCTGGCCTTATCCCCAAGTTCTTGAACGCGGGACAGGTTGACCCCTTCACCGACGACCTGCAGCTGCCCTCGTAGCTGATCCTGCTCCGCCTGAGACACTATCTTGAGGATATCCAGCCTGACGAGGCCCGCCTCCAGTGCGAGCTCGATCGCCAGAATGGTGCCGCCCGCCGCCACGGCCACCATTTTACTCGCCTTGAGGAGCACAAAGCCGGTGAGAAAGCCGCCTGCAGCCCCCATTCCAATCTGGCTATAGGGCGATCTCTGGCTAAGGTTGTTCATAGCTGAGGTCAGACATTGGCTTGAGCGAGGGATCTCTAGGCTGCAGTGATTCTACGTACTACTACACTTCACCACTGGTAGGTCACTCATTTCAGCTGCTTTTCTCGGTGCTTCTCTCTTTCCTGTTACTTTACATTTAAATAATTTGGGCGACCTTTTGTTGAAAGCTACCGCACAGCATGCTGCTTTGCACTGCGCCCTCCTATGCGCTTCTCACTCTTCCCAGCTGCGCTCAACTGAGCAAATGACCGCCAGACCGTGAACCGTCTAAGCGGACAAAAACATCAAAGTTCGAACCTGCCCATTAAGGACGGGGAGCACCGACTTCTGTATTAAATTACGTTCATGTTATTAGGTACTGCAAGTACACATTTTAAAAGTTTTTAATAAGGTATAAATATGTTGTCAAGTAAACAGGTACTTAGTAAGTACTACTAACAATCCGATTACACTCATATTTACATTAAACTTTTTAAAGTCACCCACTTCAATCTGTAGCTATACCTCATGCTCTTCAGATTATGCGGTACAGTAAAAGGAACTCTGTAACAATAATCGCAAGTTACTCATATGAGTTGTTAAATTAGGAAATGTTACTTTTCAAAAGGTATTAACTAACTAATGTTCACATTTCGAATTGCCTGATGTGAAATATTTTCTAGACCATTTTTTCCAGTGATTACATTTTTGGTCAATTATTTAGCTGAAGGTAACGGCTTCGATGGAAGAGTTCACGTTTACAGTTCAATTGCCTTAGGGCCATGAAATGGCATCGGTTTCTTTACGTTTGAATGCATTTTGGTTTTTTGGTCGTACCATTGCTTTTATTTAATTTATCGTTCAATTATGCGCCCAGGCCCAGCCACGCCCAAACCAAATAGGAGAGGCCCCAGGAGCTGTCGAGGTGTTTTTCGCTTATCGCAAACTGAAAATCAAATTAACAATGAGCACGCAAATTGCCACAAATGACTGCGGAACTGGACTCGAGCGGAAAAGGGAATTCAACTATTTTCCGAGCGATTATCTAGGAGGAGTAATGCAGTCTTTAAGTGCTTTTGTGCAAACAATATCTCAGCCAGACAACGGCAGTGAACACCCTTGGCGATTCCCCTGGAAACAACTAAAGTGTTGGAACATTTAAATTGACATTAATAGGAAAAGTAAAATGTGAAATTGTCTTGGCCAGGGAGAACTGAGGATAGAAACCACACATGAAATATAAATGAAACAGAATGCAACTTGACCATAAAATGTGAGCTCAACTGTGCGAAAAAAGGGCCAACACAACACCGGAGTAACTGACTAACAATTTCAACATCAATGCGAAACGTGTTTGCCATTCGACGTATTCTCTTACGGCTGCGAAGTTGGCAGAGAAAATCTTGCTTTTAAACATTTGCTTTCCCTCTTCCTTTTCTTTTTCTAAGATCTGATTTTATGTCCCTTGTTCAGTACAGGTGTTTGTGGAAATACGTGAGCTGGCTGTGAAATGCCCACGTTCCAATCGTGCTTTTATAAATAATTTGCATATTTTCAGATATGACTAAATTATAGATTTTACATTCTTATTTAAATATTAGAACATCCTCAACAGGTTGTGATGAATACTATTAATAAGTGGTAAGAATACAAATTCCTTATTAAAAACTAAAAACCGCCTTTTAAAACATCGAAAATATCGGTAATATCGATACTGACTTCGATGCTTTTTAAGCTCAATTTGAGTTGCCGCATATCAAGTTGAAATTGATACCAGATAATATCAAGTTGATCATCGTTTCATATAAAGATCTTTCTGGGCTTATGAGTTTTAAGATTTTAGACAATGCAGATGATATAGCTATCTTCTAACCTTTAAACCGGTCTTATTCAGTTATTTTTAGTTCTCCCAAGTTTTCCAAATCGCAAAACCATTGCCAACCAAACTTTTTATGGAGACCGCCGAACATAAGAAATGTAGCTATGGACTACAACTGCCCAACTGTACTCATGAGTACTTACTTCTTGCGGGTCGAATGCAGTTTTCCATCATCGTTGGTAGGAAAAATGAGTTTTTCCCTACAAAGCACAAAGAAGAAGCACCATTTGGAGATGCGAGTGGCAGGCGCAACAGTACGTATGCGCAATACATATTTACACAATTTAGAAGCCAACTGCAGAGTCCTCGCTCCGTCCATATGGTTAATGTGATGTGGGATAGCTGGTCCGGCTGGACCCCAGAAACTTTGGGTGCTTGTACGGGCACTCGCCTGTTGACATGCTGTAAATTTGAAAACAGTCATCCAGTGGATAAAGTGTTGCATGTTGGCTCAAAGCAAACGATTCGTTCCTCCAGTTTGCCTGTTGGCTGCTTTATTTGTGTGCGGGCTTGTACAACAAATTAACTGCGGTTAGCCGGGGTCAGGGTTAGGTGGAGTTGGTTGTTTGGATGTTTGGTGTCGGGGATTGGCAACGTTGTTAGCTGCAACTTGCGAGCGATTCACCCATGCAGCTTTGTGGTGGCAGCTGAGGGGGCAGGCTGGTCGACAGTTCGTTGTCGAGTTAAATGGTTTGTCTGTTTCGGAACATTAATTTAGATGCTGCAAGCTGATGCAAACAAGAGATTCAACTGTGGAATAGCGTAATACTTCTATGGCAGGTTCGCCGAGAAGATGTACAAAAATGTGGCGACTTAAGTTACTCACGTATCAAAATTGGTACCACATAATATCAAATTGATCATCGTTTCATATCAATTCTTTTGGGTGAATGCAGCATTCTTTAAAATGGACTGATTGCACAAGTTTAATAATAACGCTAAGATCAATCACCAGCTACATAGGCCGCAAAGGAAATGTGAAAAGCTTTGAGCCATTACAAAGAGCCACAGACCCATGAAGATGGAATTGCATGCTCAAATGCATCGATGCTAACCGAAATTGCGGTTACCCGAAATGGATAAGGACTGCTGCAAAGCTCGGAAGCTGAACGCAAAATAAATAATTATCCAGATTGCGGTGCATGCGCACTTGAAAACGGAAGACCGCAGGATGCGCTGTGCCGGAGGAGTATGATTTCGGCGACGAAATCAAATTTTATTTTAATTAGTGACTGATATGTTCGACGCCGGCTTGCGGTTCATTGAATGTGTGGGTTTTTGTCCTGCGGGATTGACTTAATTTGGCTGCTTGTGCAATAAGTGCCTTAGCTGCCTACAATTGTGGCCCAAAACAGACTCTGCGACCTAGGTTATCCCGTCCTTGTGCCCTGTGAATTATTCAATGTGGCAGCCAGGACTTGGGGAACTACATATTTCGTACTGGCAATTCCATCTCTGCTGATCCCGCTGTCGCCTGAATGTTTTATACGAGCTTCGTGCTGGCTGAGACCTTTTGGGTCAAATTAGTGTGACGCGCACCACAGCTTAATGTTGGATGAAGGTCCCGCAACAATGTCTCACAGTTTGCATAAATGCATGGGGGACCCGACTTTACTTTCTTTCGGTTGCCGATTTTTTATGCATTTACTACGTGACTCTCCCCGACGGGCAACACAAATTGCTTGCCGTCTTCTGGCCAAGTGTTTAATAAATAAATTACAAAAGGCGAGAAAGGTTCCCGGGGAGTAATTGCACTATTCCAAGCGTAGGTGATAAAAAAGTTCTCATTCAATTTGCAAAGCTTTTTAAAATTACAACGCACGACATTGAGATCTTTTTGAAGAAACGTTGTCTGCACCCAAAAAAGACTTGAAACGATGATCGATTTGATGATATGTGGTAATGATTTTGACTTGATATGCGGGCACTTCAATTCGATATGCTCGAAATGAAAACAGCAGGTCTGTTCGCTTTTCGAATGTGTCTTTTTCCCTCTATTGTTTCATTCTCGGCAAAAACGATATGCGTGTGACATACCAGAAATTTACCATGCGCATATCGATCTGACCGCGACGCGTTTTTTTGTGTGTACTCTTGTATTTGGGAAATCAGTATTTCTCCCCTGTTTAAACTCCTGATTTGGACGTTCTGGCGTCAAGGCTGCGGTTCTGATGTCGAAGAGTATTTCATTCCAATGATTGTGGCCACCTGATGATGATGGGGGACCAAGCAGAGAGAGACCCAGCAGTTGGCATAACGACGCCCCTTAATTAGCAGAAAATATGCGCAAATCGAAAACCAAGGAAAATGGCAAAATTGGCTAATTGGAGAATTTTCGTGCTGGTTCTCTGGTTTTCAAAACCCGACTTCAGTTGTTCACCCGGTTCTGTTGCTCCCGCGCGTTTGGCTTCGGTTTTCGGGGGATCACCGAAAAAACTGTCGCTCCCGGGGATTAACATTTGATTAATGCGTACACCCAGAGCGATGGGAAGCTGACTTGGGTCATGTTCGGACCAGCCATGCATTAGAATGCAGCTCACTGCCTGCTGGGCTCTATTAACACCCCACCAACAGCTAACTGCGGCTCATCTCCATCCCAAAGTCGTTGCGGCCCCGAAGGCATTCTCCTTTTTTGGGGCATTTCTCTGTGTTTCGCTGTCTTTAGTGTAACACATGTCGCCACTTAATGCGTTGAGTGCATACAGAATGAGACGAAATGGAAAATTCCAGTTGGGCACGGAGTACGGTGGGGGCGTGAAATATGGCAAACAGGGCGCCAGCTGCCGAAATGCAACACGAAGGAGGCGCCTAAGTTGTCGCATCGCACATTTCCACATTTCCACAGCTGACAGGCTGGCTCTGGAGATGAAAAACCGTTTCGCCAGCTATCCATTTTCAAATTGATGGCATTTTAATCGGCTCCAATACAGAGGTCTCCTCCTCCACTCCAAAAATGTTTAAGGGAATTTAAGGATTTTTAAGGAAATGCCATCGGCTAGATAACGTTCGATTTAATTAACTGTTTGGTCAACTATGAAGGCTTGTCCCAGCAATTTATTTACTCTTTGCGATGACCGAACTCGTAATGTTTGTCTTACTCTGATTTCGCAGCTTTCGGCTCGATAATTAAGAGACCAAATTGATTAATTGCTCGACGGCTGGCTGCTTTTTGTGCAGGGAGTCAGTGAACTGAAGCGGAGGCTGGCCAGCGGCTTGCAATTAATAAAGGCGCGAAAAAATCAGTGGTAATTGCCGTCCATCCAATCACTGCCTTTGATTGTCCTTCATGTCCGTGGTCAACAGTAGCGGGATTAAAGTCCAGTGATCAGCATAGTTTAACTGGGCAAAAATCATTTTCTGCAAGCATCTTCAATTATTTGATTTTGAAAAGTCAAAAAGCATGCCTGCAGTAACACGCCTATCTTGCATTTGGCACACGTCGATTCTTCTTTGGGTTTATTGTAATTATTGTAATGGTTTAAAAAAAGTTTTATTTGGTTATATTTTTATTACCGCTGTGATAACAGTGCTACATTAAACTTATAGCAAACAGACTACTGTGAATATTCAGAATGCCAAGTAGCTTGGAAACAAATATTAATATCGTACTCTTTGGACTCAAAGCAAAAGTGTTTATCCTGTTGATTTACGATTTTGGTTCATTCATCATCATCAGGCATCTGCCAGTCTGCTTGTCGGCAGGCAGAGCCATTGCAATTTCAATTATTCGAAATGCAGAGCCGTCGGAGAACACCGAGCGCATTAAACACTGGTGGGCTTATAAATTGGTGTGTGCTGGAATTTAGAATTGTCAGGTCAACCAGGGACAACCCGGGCCATTTGAGGCCCTGATGGGGACCGGGCATCAGGAAATTAGAAACGCATGCCACTTGGTGACCAGGACAGTGCAACAATGAAATCCAAACCCGAAACTCAAATGCAAGGCTATCATTGCATTTCCTGAGAGACTGAGAGACGGAGAGTCGAGTGAAGGGGTCGAGGCCTGAGCTGTTGAACGAAATCCATTGCAGCATTGTTTGCGTTGCCCAACACGTTTGACTTCCATTTCCGTTTATGAATTTGCGCCGCCATAGGGTCCGTTTTGGATGTCATTCGGGGCGGCACTTTAGGATTTAAGCTAGTAAGGGAAAAGTGGCCTTTAAAGACCACTTTGCGTAGAGCATATGCATCATCAAAGAGTTGAGAACGCAGCACATGGAATTCAATTACGACGCCGGCTCAGACTTCGACTTGTACTGTGACTTCGACTGGGGGTGCCAGAAAGCCAGCAAGGCACTCGTGTAAATTCATAAAACGAATTGGTTTATGGCCCCGCAGAATCGGCGACATGGAGTAACGCCCCAGACCGACGACTGCAACCGACAGCAGACCTTCGACTTGGAAGCCGCTCCACATGTCGTCCCGTTCGCCAGACTGGGGGACTGCCAAAAATATGGAAAAACGGAACGAAATCCCCCAATATGTTTATGGCCAAAGTTCAAAGACTCTTTCTTGTTTGTCTTTTGATGGGGTGCAAATTGAAATTGAATTTGGCCGGGTTAAGCGCAAAAATCGCCTTCGTTTAAGCCCCCGCCCCATAAAGCCGTGGGATCTGGGCCTCCTCCCTCGCCTCCCTCGCTGTCACAAAAAAGCAAACATTTGCAGGAAGCGCGCCCGAAATATTTCTGCCACATAAATCATAACAATGGCCATATTGTATATGTAGAACTGCATGTTACAGCGGCAACTGCAGCTGCATGCCTCTCCAGTACGAGCATGTGTGCCACCACAGGCAAACAAAAATCAAAATCAAATGCAATATAAATCTGCCCCAAGCTCTCGGAGAATTCACGTCAGTTGCCTTGGGACACATTTTCGGGAGAGATAGCCAGAATGACCTACGAAGAGTGAATCAGCGATCACAGATTTTCGATGAACTATAGGAATTTTATTTACGGTGAAACTGAAACCACAGAAATATTCGAAAAAAGCTGAAAAATAAGCCCCTTACATTACGAGTTGGGGACTGGGTATTATACGGTCGGGACACTTGACTTGGGCACTCGCCTTTTTAAAATAAGTACACAAAACGAGTGGCTACACTAGTTTACAAAACAGAATATTCGAAACTGAAACACAAAAAAAAAACACATAGCGGTTAAATCGATATGCGCATGGTACATTTATGGTATATCGTTTTTACCGTGCAAACCAATTTCTCTCTTTTTGAAATTCTAACGGCCTGTTGCTTACATTTCGAGCATATAAAGTTTAAATTGATACCACATAACGTAAAATTGATCACCCTTTCTTATCATTATATCATTTTGATCCTTAGTCAAATACACCCAATTTGACTAAGGATCAAAATATGGCATCCAAGGAAAACGCCCTTCATTCTCCTTTTAAATTCAACAAAAACTATCAATGTTATTTCTAGGATATGTTCAAGCTTTTACTTTGTAAGCCAGTGTAATTTCGCTTCCCATTGTGTGCAAACTTTTTTTCGGTAAAAAACTTTCCCTTCATTCACCGCAGTCCCCCCGACCGTCCAGCGGCAACTCTTGCAATAAATTGTCAATTTTTGAAATGTTTGCAATGTAGGCGAGGGCAATTTTATGGCCATTTCGGAGCTGATTTAATGCGCTAAGCGAACGGGATTAGCCGGAGTCGTAAATCTGCCGTTAGATGGGGCGTTATGGTGGCAAACGCCCTGGAATCCCAAACCCCGGACAGCCAGCCGACACTCAAAGCGGCCTTTTTCATAATTAAGTGGCGCATTGTTGCAGCCCCGAGGGCTGCGAGGGAAGCTCGTGTAGCATCATTAAGACACGTGGGCGGATCATCTTCCTAACAGGCACTTGAACATCACACGGCAAGCAGAAAGTGCAATTTGCGTTGACAACATAAACAGCCAGGGGCTGTAGGCAGGGGTTTGGAGGGGATAGGTGGGTCCTGGCAGGATGTTGCAACAGCAGCGACTCGAGTGTAAGCAGCGCCAAGGATAAGCCGCGGGAATAATGCTCAACATGCATAGAGTGCTGAAACGAGGAGCAACGAGGTCTCAGAACACGCTCTGTTACCCACTTGGCCCGCGGGCCCAAGCGATTTTCTTGGCCGCTTTCCGAGGATGAGCCCGAGGTTTGGGATGAGCTTGAGGATGGGGTGGCGGTGGCTGAAGAGGCCTGCATACGCTTAGCGCAAGGCCAAGTGGAAACTATCCAAGCAGATTTCTTTCCGCCCGAGGGCCACAACGAATGCCATTATAAATGTCGCAAAGTTAAGCAGCAAATGCATGAAAGTCAAGTGGCGGTTTATTATTGCTCCCCCCGTCCTCTGCCGCCCCTCGGCACAATTAGAAGGGCCCGAAAGCGAGCTCCGCTGTCGCTGACTGCTTCATATTTCACAGCGAAATGCAAAAACGGAAGGGTCCTGAGTCCGGACACAGCAAAAAACACAAAAACTATAACAAGTGGTTAGCTCAACAGGGTAACTGTGACAAAGCACAGCAAAGGACATGTGTAAAAGAGCACTTCCAGGACAAGCAGACTGTCAGTGGCCGGGGCGGTGCAACATAACAAACAACTGGGGAGAAGCATTGAAGCGTGGAGGGAACAAAAGCCAAGGGGAGGAAGCATTAGCCACCAGAAATGTCGAGTCCGTCACCGGCATTCTTCCTGCAGTCTGGAGTAGTTGCTTCTCCTTCATCGGAAATGTGGGCTAAAAATTATGTCGTTTAGGATCTCTTTCATATGTTATTACAAATTTCTTTTTTTATTAATTAATTGCAGTTAATTAGTAATTTAATAAATCTTTTCTATGATTACTTTATTTATTTTATTTATGAAAGATGATAGTAAAGTTTCTAGAACTAAGGCTACTAAGACTGAATAACAAAATTGTTTATGTTATTTATTGATTTTGGATTTCAAAGTATAAATTGTTTTTTTTTTAATGTTGTATTATATTTTCTAATGTTTATACCCGTTACTCGTAGAGTAAAAGGGTATATTGTATTCGTGCAAAAGTATGTAACAGGGAGAAGGAACCGTTTCCGACCCCATAAAGTATATATATTCTTGATCAGGATCACTAGCCGAGTCGATCTAGCCATGTCCGTCTGTCCGTCTGTCTGTCCGTCTGTCCGTCTGTCCGTCTGTCTGTCTGTATGAACGCTGAGATCTCAGAAACTATAAAAGCTAGAAGATTGGCATTTTGCATGCAGATTTTAGGAGTTCCTTCGCAGCGCAAGTTTGTTTCAAAATGGTGCCACGCCCCCTCTAACGCCCACAATCGCTTATATACGATTTTAAAAATTTTAATATTTTGGAAAAGTAAAAATGCAGTTTTATTGTGTTTATCAATACCTATCGAAATGTGGAAGAAATTTTTCAAATCGGACCATTCGTTAAAAAGTTATGCGTGATCAACGTTTTCTATCTCTATCTCCATCTCCCTCGCACTCCCTTTACCTGAGTAACGGGTATCTGATAGTCGGGGCATCCGACTATAACGTTCCCTCTTGTTTTTACTTTAGGTTGTGGATGGCTTTGCGATTTGAAGTTTCTTGTTAAGTAAAGCTTGAAAAACTATCAACAGTTTTCTATTTCTCGATATTTAATATAGGTTTTTCCTTTAAAAGATCGATTTTATCGAACCGAAATTTTCAAATATCGAAATTATGATAATTTTCCACCTCTATTTTAATGAGCTCCACTCAAATTAAATTAACTTAATTATGAGTGAGTGTCAGAATTGGCCCTTAAAAACATCGCAAAATAAAATAACTTACTGGGACTAAATCGTTTCAGACGAAAATATAGATGCACATTTATTTCAAGTTAACTAATTATCATGTGCTGCGTCCAACTGAGGTAAAAGTAAATATCAATTTGGCAAATGTGGCGAACGAAAGCAATCAGTGTTTCCGTGTTTTGAATTTAGACAGGAGATGGCGGTAACAGGAATGGAGGAGCTCTCGAAAACTTCTATCGAGGCTTGTTACATGCCCATTCCCATGCCCCCGAGGGCACCCAGACCGGCAGCCGCTCCGGCAGCAGCGGCCTCTTCCAAGGGAAGCTCCGTCACCACAGCCTCGGCGGTGGTCAGGAGCGAGGCGACTCCGGCGGCGTCCGAGATGGCGGTGCGCACTACCTTGGTGGGATCGATAATGCCCCGCTCGATCATATTGCCGTACTCGCCCTTCAGCGCATCGTAGCCGTAGTCGCCGTCCAGGATCTCCACCTTGGCCACCACCATGGCGCCGTCGACTCCTGCGTTCTTGGCTATGGTGAGGCAGGGCATACGCAGCGCTCGCCGGATGATTTCGATTCCCATGTTCTGGTCCTCGTTGGCGCCCTTCAGGTCGTTCAGCTTCTGAATGCATCGCAGCAGGGCGGTCCCGCCGCCGGGCACAATTCCCTCCTCCACCGCCGCCCGAGTGGCGTTCAGAGCATCGTGGACGCGATCCTTCTTCTCGCTCACCTCCACATCGCTGGAGCCACCCACGCGCAGCAGGGCCACGCCGGAGGACAGGCGCGCCAGCCGCTCCTGCATCTTCTCCTTTTCGTAGGAGGATGTGGACTCCTTGATGGCTTCGCGCAGACCCTCCACCCTCTTGGCCACCTCCGCCTTCTGACCTTTGCCCTTGAGCAGCAGGGTGTCGTCCTTGGTGACCACCACCTCGCCCACGCGCCCAAAGTCGCTCATCTTGACGTCCTCCAGTCGCACCAGATTGGCCTCGTCCCCGAAAACGATGCCCCCGGTGGCCACGGCCATGTCCGCCAGCATCTCCTTGCGATTGTCCCCGAAGCCGGGCGCCTTCACGGCGCACACCTGGAGGCCCACCTTCAGCCGGTTCACCACCATGGTGCTGAGGGCCTCCGCCTCCAAATCCTCGGCTATGATGACCAGTGGCTTGCGCTGCGAGTTGGCCAGCTCCAAAGCGGGCACAATGCTCTGGGCCGACTTGATCTTCTTCTCGCAGAAGAGGAGGAGGGCGTCCTGGAACTCCACCTTGGCGCCCTTGGGGGCGTTGATGAAGTACGGCGATATGTAGCCGCGGTCGAACTTCATGCCCTCGATCACCTCCAGCTCGTCGCTCAGAGTCTTGCCGTCCTTCACCGTGATCACCCCGTCGCGACCCACCTTCTTGATGGCCTCGCTGATGAGGTTGCCCACCGACTTGTCGCCATTCGCCGAGATGGTCGCCACCTGGCAGATCTCCTCGGGCGTGCTCACCGGCCGGGACATCTTGCGCAGATTGTCCTTGACACTCTCGATGGCCAGCATCACGCCGCGGCGGATCTCCACCGGATTGGCACCGCGCGATATCTTCTCGAAGCCCTCCTTGGCGATGGCGCGGGCCAGGACGGTGGCCGTGGTGGTGCCGTCGCCCGCCTCCTCGTTCGTGTTGTTGGCCACGTCCTGGACCAGCTTGGCCCCGATGTTCTGGAACTTGTCAGTCAGGGCGATCGCCTTGGCCACCGTCACGCCGTCCTTGGTGATCTTCGGGGAGCCCCAGCTCTGCTCGATGATCACGTTGCGTCCCTTGGGGCCCATGGTCACGGCCACGGCATCCGCCAGCACGTCCACTCCTTGGAGCATCATGGCCCGCACCTCGGGGCCGAACTTGACGTCCTTGGCGTAGGAGCGCGCCCCCAGGACGTAACTGATCCTGGCAGTACGCCGCAGGCAGCCGGTGCAGTTGGTGAGCATGCGCAACATGATGAGCTGCGGGGTGGTTGGGTTAAAGTGGGTTAAATCGGATAAGTTTTTCCTATCAGCAAACTCACTAATAAGAGCGTTTTTCTGATAAATTCGGAAACAGTGTTGAAGCTCGAGCGGTTAAATGTAAAATGGGGAAATCGAATACCAAATGCTGATGACAAGCTGATCCAAAAGCGATCAGCCTACTCAGTTTCGTAAAATAAGTACACACCAAAAAACATGTTCCCGTAAAATCGATTTGAAAACCCATATCGTTTTTACATAAAATACTCTTTTCGACCAGGTCAAATTTACCTGCCCAAATATCAAATTAAAATTGATCTTAGGTAATGTAAAATCGATCTACGTTTCATATCGATTTTTTTGGGTGTTAGAAAAGAATACTCACAACAAATTGAAAAAAGTTGTTATAATATGGCTGATTTTAACACTTATTTTGAATCTTTTATAGTTTGTCGCAAAATATTACAGTTGCCTATTGGAAAATACTTTTTTATTTCTTAGATAACAATTTAAAATTTTTAAATAGAAGGTTTGAGAAATCTTTAAGTAATAAAATATCGACAGTTTGATATTATTAATTAATCAATATTAAGTCTGTATTTTGAAAATACTATTTTCCCTCAAAAACATCGATCTTTGAGCTCTAATATAAAGCCAAATGAAACTGAGCTTTTTCCCGGCAGAAAATTTCCTAGTTGGCCACACAAATGGGCCACTGCTAACCCGTCGCTATAGAAAAACACTATCGGTGACGCCCCCAGCCTTCTCTCCAATTTTGTCCCCATCCAATGAACATTTACCTGGACGACAATTTGTAACCGAAAAGTGAAAACCATTTAAATAGTCGTAAAAATGTGCGACGACAGCGACCGAAATACAATAAAAGCCGGAGTGGAATGGGTTTTCGCTTTCCCCCGCCGAGACCCCTTTTCACCCGGTTCGCAAGAAACATAAGCTCTTCGCTGGGGTATCGTTCGCTAGTCGCTGTCAGCTGCGCTTACAAGCGAACGGAAAATTGAAAACTGTTAAGGCAGCGTAAGGCGAGCCTTATAGCGAAGCGATCGGGGGAGGGCGGGCCACCAGACATCGAAGACAACCGGGCGGACAGCGACAAATGGCGGTGCTTGTTCATGAAAATTTAAATTGCAAAATGGGCTCTATAGGTAGGGGAGGTGACATCCCCATCCGTTCGCTAATATTTGTGTTTTAATTACCTGGAAAAGTGTCAGGACGTTCTAGGACGAGCTTGGAGATTATTGCAAATTTGTTTTAGCCTGTGGCAACACATGACGCCAGCCGATGATTTTGTTCTTGAATCGTTTTTTGTTTGTGCTTGTTCAAATTAATTTAAAATAAATATATAATTAATAGAGAAGTTTTTAGCTAACTCGAGGTCATTTTCACTGTGAAGCCTCTTCGCTCCTTTTTGTGTGTTGGCATAATGCCGACGTCTTCTTCTCTATAACAAAAAAAGGTCGTATTAAAAGCTAATCTGTATATAATTAATATTATAAATATTTTGTATACTGGCATCAAAATCTATTTTTCTACCACGCTGTTTAGCTAAAATTTTTAATTTCTTTAGTAGTTAAGATATTAATTTCATCCAACAGATAGTAGGTAATATCTGTTATTAAGAACCATATCGATTACAATAATCTATCTCATTCGGCACACCCACTCCCTTAGTGGCTAACACTGATGCATCTGATTTAATTACAACAGCCGCCCTTAAATTAGCAGACATTAATATTACAAGAGAACACTGACCTATTAAGGCGACTCCGGAGGGCGGAGACAGGAACTTCGAACAGGCCGAGAAGAGCCCACGCGTCATTAGGAAAATGGCAACGAAATTAAAGAAAATTAGCAGTTGGCCGTTCGCCTGACTGGAGATGGCAAATGAGGCACATTTATTCGAATGTAATCCATTATGAAATCGCATAATGAAGAGATTAGCACACGCATTTGGGGCGCAATTAATAAATGACCCGAAGAAAGGACAAGGACAGGGCAAGGAAACTGACCTCTGTCAGTCCGTTTGCGTGTTGAGTTCGCGAATAAGTCCAATAAATTAGGCAAACGGTAATCATTAGTTTTATTCCATTTGTGTATACATAAGTGTATGACACAGACGAATAAATCAGGTAAAACTTCAGTCTGTGCTTTATTAATAATTACGTTGTTGGACCCCCGATCATAATAATCGCTATGAACCAGCTGGCTCCTTATTAACCCATTGATGCTCAGCTTTTGTTTTAACTCTTCCCTAACAATGTGCCCCCTAAAAGGCTTTGCACTTCAATTAACTTGTCTTTTTTGGATTTAACCCGCCGCGCCGCAGTCCAAGGACTTTCCCAGGCGCGATTTTCCCTTTTCTTTCGACGACCCCTCTAATCGATAATTAACCACAAAAACTTGGCACGCAACAGGAAAATGGGGATGGGGACGGTAAATGGATCGAAAAGGGGCACTGAGCCTAAGTATAAAGAGGGTAATGGCACGGCACAAAGTTTAATTAACACAAGAAAGAAGGCTTTAGAAGTGGAACTCGACCATGAGATTCCCCCTATCCACTTTAAACCACTAATGTAAATATTACAAAAAAATTAAAAATCGAAGAAAATAGTCAAATAAATTTATTTTATCCTGAATGTGGCCAAAAATTATCGAATACGTTGGTAACAAACCAAAATGCTTTCTTTTTTCCTGTTACATACTTTTGGAGAATGAACCCTTTTCGCAGCAAGTAAAGGGTAAAAAATACGTGCTGCGGCTGGCTTTGTTAACTTAAAGTGATGGTCAAAATCTTGCCCAAGTTGAAAGGAAATTTTAAGCGGATTTTCCCAGAAAGTTTATTAGTTGATTGGTCGGGTAAAAAGTGCAGAGAAAAATTATTATTTATAGATGCGGCCTAATAAAATGAAGCTCTTTGGCTCTGTGTATTAGTGTAATTAACGAGGAATAACATGAATGGTTGGATTATAAGATTGATTTTACGGTCTGACCAGCAGTGCTGCCATCACTCAGCTTGAAAAACAGGACAGATAAGCCACAAAAAACAGGGAAAAAAAGGACAAAAAATTTAAGAAAAGGACAAAATAAAGGACAAAAGTAAATGTGCCTACATTTTTCTGTTTTTACCAATGGGTTATATATTTACTTAATATAAATGGATTTTAAATAAAATTTAGTTATGTAATGATCTACTGCGCCCGACTCACAACCTTCTTTGTTTGATCATTTTACCATGGTAAATTTTTGTGCGTATACGTAATAATCTAAAATTATTATAATAATTAATGCATTTCAAGTAACTATATTCGTAATACAAAAAAATTAAATATCTGCGTCAAACCCGAAAAAGAGTCGTTCAAATCTGAATTTTTTTTCTGACAAAAAAGCAGAGAGTACAAATTAAGAAATTTTAAAAGTGCTTGCCTCTTTTGCTACAGAAAAAATCGTACTATAAAGAAAATCCATCGACTGCTTTACGTCTCTTTGATAATTTATAAAAAGAATTATTTTTTAAGTGCCGAACTGTACACTGGTAAAAAAAACGCATAGTAAAATCAAATATTTTTTTAGTTGATTTCATTTACTACTTTTCATAGTTAAATCAAATAAATAAATCATTGATTTTAATAAAAAGCATATTTAAACCTTCATTCAAATATAAAAATAATAAAATCGAAGGGAATTATATTTGAAATGATATTACTGATGTTGAAAACCAAAGTCGCAATAGTAGTTTTTAGTATTGTAAATAGTAAGTTATATACATAGTATAATCAATGTTTTTTCTGATCCCATTAAATACTTTCGCAATTTATTTTGAATAAAAAGTTTATTTGACACAATTATTTTGAAAGTCAAGATTCAAATAATATTAAATTAAATTTCCATAAAATGTATAAGTGAAAAGTTGCATTTTTAGTTTTAAAAAGTTATATGTGTTGTGGATCGTGTTAACTTTACATTTAAGTTGAACTTATCCACTCGCGCGTAACATGGTGCGATGGATCAATGGGTAAGGCATCTACCTCTGACGCGAGAGGACCCCGGTTCGAAAACCGTCTGAGGCAGAGTAAGTAAAAAGTTTTTAAGAAGCGTATTTAACATTTCCTTAACATTTATAAGAACAATATTGTATTAAAAAAGTTGTAAGAATTACTAATTACAAAAAAAAAAATAAGTTGTGGTGTCAGCGGGACTTGAACCTGGTACCCCCGAGCACAAAATAGTATCAGAACCTAGCCCTTGACCCCTGAACCATGCCCATATAATTTCCTATCGAGGCAGAATGCTCTTTTAAGTTCACAGTAATATTTTTGATTGTAATGACAATAAATAACTGCATTTCAAAATGAAAGTTAATATTTTAGGCGCTCACTCGAAAATAAAAACACAAATTTGTAAATTATTATTACAAGATTCTGGGTAAAAAAAATAGTCAAATCAAATACAAAAATCTTTGAATTTACTATAAAAATATTTAAAACATTATTAACTATGCGCCATATACGATTTTACTATTTTCATGTTAGGATCTATTTCGCTGGGAAAAATAATTGAAACAATGGTAAAATAGTGACATTTACGATTTTTTTTTTACCAGTGTAAGAATGATGGTTAAAAATGCATTTTAGCAAATAAAAACAGGTTTATACATTTTCGACTAGCAAAAATAACACTCAAAACCTTTTTTTGAAAAAAGGATAGATTTCCGGATAGGGGATGTTTGAAATTTTTTCCGGATAAAGCCGTTAAAAAAAGGACAGATCTGTCCGGAAAGAGGACAAAATGGCAGCACTGCTGACCAGGTCACAAATAACGTTTAGCTGTTTGTTTACTAATCAGTTGAGTAAAATGTTTTTTTTTTGTTAAATGCATTTAAAACATAAATGTTTTTAAAAATAAAAAAAAATATTTAATGTGTCATCTTTATAGGTCTCAGTGATTATAGTTCTCCAATACACTAGTTTAAGATTATTTAAGTGTTTGCTTTGCGATTTTCGTTTAACCAAAGACAAGGGTTAAGGTTAGACTTGAACATGTCCAAGCAAACACTATGTATGTATTTTAATAACTAAAATTATATTAATATTATATTTATACCTAACGCATAAAGGGATCAACAGCATAACAAT